TCTGAGGCAGAAAATCAGTGGGACTGAGAAACCTAGACAGAATAAGGGGGAACAAGAACAAACTACACCAGAGAAGAGAATATTCTCTGCACAACACCTTGCTCATTCCTCAGGGTGAAGGAAACGGTGGCTGATATCAGAACTGTATGGCTCACCATTCATGTAATTATGCTTGTTAAGTGAAGAGTGAACTATAGCTACAATTTTCTTTCCATAATGTTAATCCAACCATTGTTGGTTTTCCTTTTCATTTATACATTAAATAAATATGTATTGAGGACCCACAGATGTTTCAGGCACTGGCCTTTAGTGGTGTGAAGGATACAGCTTTGCCCTCAAGGATCTTAACGGAATGAGGCAGGAAAGAAGCGCTACTGTGCGGTAAGCACAGCGCTCTATGGGAAGGGGAAGTGGAGATATTTACTGAATCCTGGTAGGCAATGGAAATAAATGTAGCTAAGAACAAAGGGTGATAGAATTACAGGAGAGTAAGGGAGAAGGTTCCAGGCAGAAGCATATACTAAATTTTGAATTGGGCAAAAGTTCAGGGAAGATTTTGCTGTCATTCTAAAACCCCAAAGTAAAGGTTTTCTGCTCATATATCATATACCTTTGAACCAATGACTCTCAAGGGTGGTTTCAGCTGAGAACTGACAGTGTGGCCACACTGGGTGTGCTCCTGCCTTCAGCATTTCATCTTAGGAGGGTTTGTCATGTAGCTCATCAGCTAGTGTGTTTATTCTGCGTGTTGTTGTTGGCCGTGTGAGGCTAAGATCTAGAAACACAGTGTTTGGTCTCAGCAGCATGTAATGAGTTAGTGCCTCCCAGTAACTTGGATAAAAATACGTCCTATGAAAAGGCTCCATGAAGCACAAATGTAAAAACACGCCCCAAAAGTACATTGTCCTTTCATAGTGCCACAGGGGCTGTTGCTTCGAGCGTGGCTTGTAACCTGCACAGAGAAGTGTACCTGTTGACTCTTTCCGTTTTGCTTTATACTACTGTTCAGTCCAGCGCCAGAAAAACGCTGAAGGGAGTTCACCGGGAGAATGCCACCACTCTGCCGCTTGCCCTGTTATGCTCTAGGCTAGGGGTTGGCTTTTTTTTTTTTTTTTTGATTAAAGTCCAGATAGTAAATATTTTCGTCTTTGCAGACCGCACAGTCTCTGTCACAACTACTCAACTCTGCCATTTGTAGCGTGAAATCAGCCATCAACAGTATGCAAACAAATGTTCCAATAAAACTTGATTTGCGAAAACAGGCTGTGGCCTGTGGGACACATTCGCTGGCCCGTGCTTACCACGGTTCTGCCCGGGATGGCATCTGGACCCTTGCCCACCCCGCTGTCGAGGCTTGGAATGCTCCCCCCCCCCCCTCTGCCCAGCTAGATTGTAGTTCTTCAGCTCCTCCGTGCAGAAGTCATTCCCTCAAGGAAGAAGCCTCCCCGGGTGCTCTGGTCCAGGCTGGATGCCCTCGCGTGCACCCCCAGCGCCGCACACCTGCCCCTCCAGAGCCCTGCCTGATTTCTAGTTGTCTGGGGACTTGTCTCTCCACTCCATCCACTCCAGACTGTGAGCTCCCTGATGGCAGAAACCTGTCCGTTTTACACCCCCTTGTATCCCTAGCATCTAACACACTGCCTGGGACTAACCTGGAGTCAGATCAGATATAATCAGAATTCTTCCCTCCACCAAGACCGAGGCTTTGCTACTGGGTCTAAATGGTGAAGCTCAGCCCTTGGGGGAAGTCTTTCCCAGGAAGCTCCTCTTTCCCTTATGGACACACACTTCAAGAAGCCTGCCCCCCAATCTGTCAACATACCCAGACATCACTTTGAATCCTAGCCAGAGCAAGCTGAGACCTTGGCCACAGAAGAATCTCTTTTTCTTTCCCTCCTCCACTTGCAGGAAGAACAACAACTAACAAATATTTACGTGGAGTTCACCAGGCACCAGACATTCAGTTTCTATGGACAGTAACTTATTTAAACTTCATGACAATTCTATTTGCAGTATCTTTACTTTACCAAAGAAAACAATTGCAACACAGAGAAGTTAGCTACATTGCCCAGAGTCACACAGCTAGTAATTGTGGAGCTAGGAGTTGAACTTGGGCAATTTGTTTCTGAGTTGGTGCATTAAGTCATTTCACTGATGACCTCTCCACCCCTTCTCTCCTTTCCCCCTTCCCCCTTCCCTGTGGTATATACAGCCTCCATTGTATCCACTTCTCTCTTAGAACCTCAGAAAGTAAGAATGAAGAAGGGACAAGGAACAAACAAGAGTGCATGACTTCCAGTAGAGGCTGAGACCAGAGTGGAAATGTTCAGAGGCCACTTTAGATATTAGGCAATGCTACCTCTACAGTCTGTAGAAAATTCTGAATCTAGGATGTTGTGAGCCCTGGAAATCATGAGGGAAATGAAAATGCTCTGGAATGGCTAATGCTGCTTTTCTTTTCAAAGAGCTATCTTGGAACACTGAAAAGATGTTCTTATTCACTAAATGTTTTTCACTGAGTTTGAAGTAGAGTTTTAGCCACAAATAATGTCTTCCCTAAAATTGAAATCAGTTGGTGAAATAATGGAGGAAATATAATGCCTTTTGCTGTTTTTCTCAGTGACAATGCAGCAGAGACCAAGCATGGGGTATGTGGCCACCCTGCTGGACCAGCTACTCATTCCCTCTCTAGAATGGTGACACATGAAAAGATTCTCACCATTCCATGTTGCAAAGAAAAATTAGTAAATTAATAATAATAAGCTTAATGAACTCACTTGTGACACAGGAACTGGCCACATGGGTCTGAAGATATTGGATCCCAATTGCTTTGTTAAAACTGTCTTCATTACAAAATCTTCCTTCCAAAATTTACCTTCTCATGTTTCCATCTTCATTGGTTAATTCTCATTTGAAAAGACCATTCTTTTTGTAGGAGCATCCTCATGCTCTTTCTGACACAAAGGAACTGTTTCTTCATAAACTTACGGGCATTAAAATATTTTTTACAAGGTCACTAAAAGTGACTTGTGCAGGGGCATCTGAAGTCAATATAGCAATAGAGAAATCAGATTCTCTGTCCTTTATTCTTCTAAAACTATTGTGGATGAGATGAGCCATCACTTTTTTGGCCCCAGAAATTGATTTATATAGAGACTAGAAAAGGTTCTGGGAAAGTTTATTTTCTCACCAAAAAAGCCAGCTTTTACTGTGGAATTCATCCATCTACCCACCCATCTGCAACTTACTTATTTTGTTTATTGTCTGTCCACATACTTCAGAATGTAAATTCTATTAGGTCAGAAATGCTAGTCCCCTTTGTTCATACCATATCCCCAGCACTTAGAATAGTATCTGGCGATAAGTGATGATAAATGTGAGGACAGTTAAGTGATTTTTAATTAGATAAATATTTATTAGCATCTACTACTTTTCAAAGTACTGGATTGACAGGCAAAAAGGATCTAAGATGACATAGATATGGATCTCACTCTCCAGGAGATTCCAGGCTAATAAAGCTATTACCAAAATATATCCCTTTAATAGCATCACTCTACAGGGGAAAGTAGTCGTTTCCACAGGAGAAATGAAGCAGAAGTGCTTCATTTATACTTCTCCCTGAGGAACTGACATATGAGAAAACCACTGAACAAGCAGGAGAATTTGGAAACAGGGTGTTATAGTGGAAAGGCATTCTAAAAAAAAAATTATGGTAGGAATTAGTAAGTGGGAAATACAGGATATATAGCAGATGGAAAAGTAAATGATTCAGGTTACAGGGATCTTGGAGACCTGAACAATACTAATGGAAGATCTACTTGGAAAGAATGATTGGGTCAAATTATGGAGATTTTTGGTGTCACTTGTTGTCAGTGGTGAGTCCAAGACTCTCTTTTTCTGTGACCTGAACCTCTCAATCTCACTTACACTGTAACTTCCGAGTGACAATATTTTGTGCTCCATGTTTTGGGTTTCAAATCAGCAACTTGGCCAACTCAGTTTCTAGGGCCTGGAAGGAATCTTGTGTGAAATGCAGATTTGGTTTTTGATCTACATTTTGTAGGTCAACAAGCTCACTTACTTGACAGTAATTACAGGGCTCACAAGGATGTTATTCTTGAATAATTTATTTAATATATTAGCCACAAACAAGCTTCTACCACTAAGCATCTCACTCTCCCTGTTCCTGCTTGCAGGACGGAGCTATGAATTGTCTCCTGTTCCAAGAGATTCCTTCCGAGTTGATCTGGAGTATGGATTTCTACCATCACCGGCATTTCAGCCCTAGAGCTGTGTGATGCAGACAGTATTTTCTACTTCCAGTATCATTCAGGGAGGACACCAAGAAGTGTTTTTAATCTTGGCATGTGAGCCTGTGTAGTGTGTCCTTGTTCCATAAGAGTACTTTGGCACCGGGAAGCGGAGGCAGCAGCTTTCAAGTGACCAGAGAAGCAGGCTGATTAAGAGCTCTGCACGGGCAGACGGCACTAAAGCTGCTTGCCTAGTCCTTGCCTATCAGTTGGGGGTTCTAAGAGAAGTTTTTCCAATTTTGAATCTTTTGGTAGAATTTACTGTTTCCCCCATTCCCAGTCTCTTTTCTTCTAAATTCCTTCCCTCTCAGTGAATGCCACAACTGTCCCTTTCCAGGTACTCAGATTTGAAACTTCAGTGCCGTGAGGAAAAATTGATAATAATAATTTATTGAAATAAATTTAAGTAATTTATTTATTAAAAAATTAAAAAGCACAATTTATTTAAATTAGCACTGAAGGCCAGGGCTGATTTCCATGGCCTGGGCATTAACTTCTTTTAGTTCACCTTCTCCCATTATTTTCACCTCCTATTGCTTGAGTAAATTCTGAAATGAAAATAGTATCAAATGCTAATCCACGAGTTGGTGACCTGAGGGTGCCAGTTCTCCTGCCCCACGGCTGCGGCTATCTCCTCATGAAAGTGGTCACGGTCTTTTCCCCGGTGACTTTCCTGATCAGACCAGCCAGGTGTGCTCCTTCCTCCTCTCCCTTTCTATATAATAAAAAATTGTAACAGGAATGACACCATACTTGTACCCTCCTGAGGCTCTAATGACTATGACCTGGAAGTGTTATCGTTTGTTGAAAGAGCTCAGGTGTGTGGCCAGGAAAACCTGAGTTCAAAGGTTTGCATTCACCTCTCTCCATCCCTGGCATTCTTTTCTTCTGGTGCCTGGTGGAGATTACATCAAGGCCTGAAGGAACTCTCCAGGGTACCCGATTGCCTATGTTCAAGGGCCGCAGCTGAATTTCTAAGTTCTTTCTCCTCAGATTTGTGTAGCCTATGGGTCGACTACCACTAGTTGGAGAGAAGGAAAGCTCGCACATTCTCCGTGAGCCAAGGTAAGAGAGAATTCTTTTGTCAAGATAATAATAGCATTTAGTACTTATACAGGGCTTTTTATCTTCAAAGGGCTTTCCAAACATTAGCTAATTAAGAAGTCTGCTCAATGTGCAGCAGCTGTTGAAAAATAAATGTGATGCTTGGGCATATTAAAAAAGGGAGCAAAAACATGAGGACATCCTATATCAAGCAGCTGTGGTGCTCTGTCTAATTTGTTTGCTTCACCTGGTGGAATAGATCAGACATTAAAATAGTCCTGCCATGCGGAGTAATAATGGTTAGGGAGAAAGCAGAGCTTGCACATAATGGAATATTGCAAGGACTACCAATTATTTACCTGAAGGGGGAAAGCCAAAATAAAAGCTTTATTACCTTTTATTAAACTTTCATAATCACAGGTACATGCAACACTAATGAAACAGACATCTAACATGTAGGTACAGATGTTCTTAGAAAATGCATTGACATAAACACGCATTCTCATTCATTCATTCAAATTTACTCAACAAATATGCATCGAGCACTCACCAGACATTGGAGACATACATTTAAAAATTATATGGGGATAATTTTAAAACAAGTACAGACCTGTTCTGGTACATCTTTTACCTATTGTGCCTTAATTTTACATTAATATGGACACACCCACACAAGAACACACACACACATTCAAGTCTGTCAGCATTTTTCTTTGTTGACTCATTGGCAGAAATGAACTAACATACCAGTGCATGAGCTGAGCTATGACTTTGGTTATGAAAACGAAATAAACAACTGAAAAATGCTTTTTGTTTTGAGTTTTCACAATTGGCGGTGAGGAATGGCCAGCTTTTCTTTTTTCCTTCCGTGTTTTCTCACAGCAAAATTTATTCATTTATGACTGCTATTCTGTTTAAAGTGTCTATTTGAAAAATTGGAAATTCCACAGAGATGAGGGGAGGCAGCACATGAAGAGGAAAGGAAGAGGGGTCATGTGATGTCAGAATATGAGAGCCTGTTCCCGTTAGTGTAAGCATCATGCTATTTATACCTGGCTGTACACGGGCAAGGCATATTAGAACACCTTAGTTCCATTGTACTCAAGGAGAAAGGGCGCTTACACTTCTGGTTGAGCTGCTTGCCAAACTGGGGTTATAGGATAAAGTGGTTCCTCATTCAAGGTGGACACATCATGGCAGAGATGGCAGGGAGATGAGTAAAGAAGGGGGTGGTCTCGGTTTGGGGAGAGAATTAAGAAGAAACATGTCCTTAAAGTGGAGAAAAATGCCTGCAGAAAATTATATTTAATAGGCTCACTTTTACCAAGGACAAGTTACAAGCCTAAAAACAGAGTTAAATTACAATGAGAAGCTGAGTGATGCAAAGCCACATGGTAACAAAGATAAACAAGCATCAGCTGGATGTCTACTAAGTTCAGAGCATAACACACCGTGAAGTGATTAGGAGGTCTACGCCTGGCTCCCAATACCCTGGAACCAAGGGTGGCTTGAGGGTACGTGTGGTAGGACTGATGTGGTTAGAAAAAAATCAATTCAGTGATCACTTGCTCAACCTGGAGCATTAATTATAGTAGGAACTAACTGAAAATAAACTAAATGTCTTTTTTTGTTGGACATGTTCTGTGAAGAAAGGATTGATTAAGTAAATTAGGATTTATTCCTAGAATGGAATACTGTGCACCTATGAAAGCAAGGAGCTCTATTGCTACTAAAAGCTCAAAGATAAATTGATAGAGCAGTGTGGAGGGGGGGTTAAGTGTATATGATGTTAAAATCTTTGTGAAAACTGCGTAAAGATCTGTGTGTACACTCACATATATTTCTACGTGGAGCGATTGCAGACTATCTCTGGAAGGGTAAGTGAGAAAACAAAAAACAACTGCAGTCATTACTCTTGGGAAAGAGAAAGGGGGTTTTGGGAGACAGAAGTGGTTAGAGGACTTCGGTTCAGTGTGTATTTCCTCCTCCATTAAAAAGGAAAAACAACTTTATTTTGGGATAATTGTAGAGTCACAGAAGTTGTAAGACATAATACAGAGAGATCCAGTATACCCTTCACCCAGTTTCCTTCAGTAGTAACAACTCACAGAAATATAGTTTAATCTCATAACCAGAAAATTGACATTGATGAAATCCACCGAGCTTTTTCACAGTTCACGTGTGTGTGTTTTTAAATCTATGCAAATGTGTCGCATGCGTAGGTTTGCATGACGGAAACCACTGTCGTGAGAGAGAGCGGTTCCACCCCACAGATCTCTGGTGCCGCCCTTCTGTAGCCACAGCCACCTCCCTCCTTTTCTCCCCTTCCTCACTCCTGGCAATGATTAATCTGTTTCCCACGTCTGTAATTTTATAATTTAAATACTTTTGTATACATGGAGTCATACAGTATGTAACCCTTTGAGACTAGCTTTTTAAACAGCCTAATTCCCTTGAGATTCTTCCAGGTTGTTGCATGTATCTACTCTTATAGACGGCATATTGTTTGGAGTTATTTTATCCACTTTGCAAAAATTTCTGACTTGTAATTGGTGTTTTTAGACCATTTACATGTGAGGTATTTATTGATATGTTAGGGCTTAAGTTTACCATTTTATTATGTTCTCTGTTTGTTTCTTCCATTTCTCATCCCTCTGCTTCTCTTTTCTTATCTTCCTGAGAGTTACTTGAACATTTTTAGTATTCCATATTTATTTATTTATAGTGTTTTTGAGTTTGGGGTATAGTATTCTTAGTGGTTGCTCTAGATATTACAGCATACATATATAAACTAGCAAAGTCTGCTAGTATTATAGTCCTATTTTAACTTTTGGGTTACTTTTTATTAACTGCAAGTTAATTTTAAAAAATAAAACTAGCAAACCAAAACAGACTTCCCCCATTCACACTCATCCAAAACAAAACAAACAAAAATATCACTTAAGTACAATCAGACTGTAGACAGAGAGAGTGAAGATCAAAGCACTTCAGAAGAAATAGCTCAGAGAAATCTTGAACAGGAAGAAAGCACCAAGTTCAGTATTTTCAGGGCACGCCTGAGAAGTTGGAAACTGGGGGCTTGTCCAGGACCTCTACCTGGTGGAGCTCATTCTGTTCCTTAAACTCTCTAAGCTTCACTTGTAAGAGGAAGTTAGTAATGGAACCAACCTCATAGAATTATTGTGAGGATTTGCTGAGAAAATGTATGTAAAATTCTTAGTATTATGTCTGGCACGTGACAAAAACTCAAAACCCGTTGCTGCTATGTAACTGAACTTCCCTTTGAGTGTCCATCTGGGTCCGGGGCTTGCAGGTGCACAGTGACATGACGCTGTTCCTCAGGAGGAGAAGCTGGTGCCCCCGGTATTTATCACTCCTCTGACTGCACGGATGGCGCCCTCTTCCCAATTCTCCCCACAAAGGCCGGGTTTTACCAAATAACAACGTTTGGGGTTAAAAAAGGACTTACTCCTGGCCTCTTGGCTCATTTCCCTACCCTTAGACTGGTGGTCTTAGCAGTTGGTAATATTTGGTAGTATGAAAAACAAAGGGTAACAAAAAGATAGATATGGATTCATAGGTTCATACCGTGGGCGGATGAGAGAAGATGTCAGAACTGGCAGTATTGTCCCCAGCAATAAGACACACAATCAGTCTTTCCCAACTTTCCATGTGTCTTTGTTGACAGATCTTTGGCTAGGCTCTCTTTCAGGGAGTAAGTGATGCTCACTTATTTTATACAGGACCCAGAATATATGTAAATGACTCTTAGAGTTGCTTTTTCAGTGTTTTCTGTAGGACAAAAGATCATCTAGGTCTGTTAATGACACTTCACACTGTCAGCATGGGCAGTTTAGGCTTTTCTGACCATACGGAGAGTACATCCCTGACATGGTCTTTCCTTTTATTTTCGTTATTCCTTACTTGATACATAAATTTTCAGACTGGCAGAAAAATTATCATGAGACCTAAGAATATTTTCCTCTCCTTATGCCTCTTCCCTTTATGGGTTCTTACTCTTTATGTAAACAATTTCTGATTCATTTTGACTACCCATACATTTTCTTTCCAGGGCTTTTTTCTCATATATCTTGCCAATCTTCCTAACCCCATTCCACCCTTCACCAGACTGCTAAGTCTCTCCCATCATGAATTTTATTCCCAGATTAGAAGTTTGGCCCCATCTCCCATTCTACTGAGCAAACTGCAAAGAGATTAAGACTAAGGGCAGTTTAGAGTCAACAAGAACTGAAAAAACTTGCAGCTGGTGGTGCCATCTGTGCCTGTCAAACTGTGGCCAAATAGTTTTCCATGGTGGAGAAAGACGGAGAATCTGATAATGGCTTTTGGTTTGAGGTTACTGAGAAATGAGGAATATTGCCCTGGAGGAAGATTAGAAGAGCTGGTAGGCCTCTCGTTCTCTTTGTAATGTGTGGCTCATCTCCCAGAAAAACAGGCTTCTCCTGGCAAATGGTCAAATTTGACATCTGAGACCGTAGAGTGGCCTCCTGTGTGTGTTCTTTCTTTCCTCGTCCATCTGCAGAATTCAGTCGGTGCCAGGTGCCCAACATGGCATAAGAGAGTGGTAGAGCCATGAGAGGGAATTAAAAAAAAAACTTTCAGAACTTACAGGAAACTTCTAAAGAGAAGTTTCCCAGGCCTTTGGTTATGCAGAAACAGGGTGACAACAGCACCAGGGTAGGGGTGGGGAGGATTCCTGCTGCCTGCATCCCAGCCCTCCTTTGTCAGGGAGAATCTGAGTATTGGATGAAACGAAGAGTTACGGGGAGAAGTATGGCAGTCTTTGTTGAGAAAAACAAATGAGAGGATGTGCGGGGGCAAGGAGTGTGTCAGGATAGCCACTTGGGCCCCTGGGAAAAGACAAGGAAAGGAGACTTTCAAGACATGTTCTTAAACTGGGCAAGAAACTTAGACACTTCACAAAAGAGTGAAGGATAGTGAAATGGATGGTGCAGGAGTGAAAGGATACTCAACCTCACTACTAATCAAGATAATGAGATAAAAATATTACCAGAATGGCTAAACCAAAATGACTGAGAAAACCAAGTGTTAACATGGATATGCAGGAACTGGAACTTTTATATGCTGCTGGTGTCAGTATAATTAATACAACCCCTGTGGTAAACTGTTTATCCCTATCTATTAAAATTGCACATATGCAACAGGCACACCTTGTTTAATTGTGCTTCGCTTTATTGCACATTGTAGGTATTGCATTTTTTACAAATTGAAAGTTTATGGCAGTCCTGCATCATGTAAGTCTACTGGCACCATTTTTCCAACAGCATTTGCTCACTTTTTGTCTCTTTGTCTCATTTTGGTAATTCTTGGGTATTTCAAACCTTTTCTTTATTACTATATTTTTTATGGTGATCTGTGATCCATGATCTTTGATGTTACTGTTATGACTCATTGAAGGCTCAGAAGATGGTTAGCATTTTTTAGCAACAAAGTATTTTTTAATGAAGTTATGCACATTGCTTTTTTAGACATAATGCTTTGCACACTTAATAGACCACAGGATAGTGTAAACATAACTTTAATATGCACTGGGAAACCAAGAAATTTGTGTGACTCAGTTTATGCAATATTTGCTTTATTTCAGTAGTCTAGAACCAAACCTGCAGTATCTCAGAGGTATGCCTGTATCCTATAAACTAGCAATTCTACTTCTAGGTATCTACTCAAACAAAATATGACTTATGAGCACTAGGCATCATGCACATAAATGTTTATAGCAACTTTATTCATAATAGCTATATTTGGGAATAATAAAAATGTCCATCAACAGTGGAATGGATAAGCAAATTGTATATTTATATCATGAAACACTATATAGCACTGAAAAAGAATGAAATGTGGGTGAGTCTCACAAAAGTAATAAAAAAAATCAGATGTTAAAAGCTACATACTGTAGATTTCATATATGTAAAATTCAAAAGAAGACAAAGCTGATTTGTGTTTGGTATAGTGATTGCCTTTGGGGAACAGAAAAAGGGTAGTGATAGGCAAAGGTGGTTTCTGAGGTCTATGTAATCTTCTATTTTAAGACTTTTGGTGGTGGTTACATACCCATGATCAATTTGAAATGATCCATTAGACTGTACATTTATGATTTCTGTCTTTTTCTTTTTTTTCACTTTTTATTTTTTATTATTGAGTAATAGTTATTTTACAATGTTGTGTCAAATTCCAGTGTAGAGCACAATTTTTCAGTTATACATGAACATACATACATTCATTGTCATTGTCACATTCTCTTTTGCTGTGAGCCACCACAGGATACTGTATATATTTCCCTGTGCTACACAGTACAATCTTGTTTATCTATTCTACATTTTGAAATCCCAGTCCCTGCCCACCCCTCATCCCCCTGGCAACCACAAGTTTGTATTCTATGTCCATGAGTCTGTTTCTGTTTTGTATTTTTGTTTTTGGTTTTTTTTAGATTCCGCATATGAGCAATCTCATATGGTATTTTTCTTTCTCTTTCTGGCTTACTTCACTTAGAATGATATTCTCCAGGAACATCCATGTTGCTGCAAATGACATTATGTTGTCAGTAATTAGGGCTGAATAGTATTCCATTGTAAAAATATACCACATCTTCTTTATCCAGTCATCTGTTGATGGACATTTAGGCTGTTTCCATGTCTTGGCTATTGTAAATAGTGCTGCTATGAACATTGGGGTGCAGGTGTCACTTTGAAGTAGGGTTCCTTCTGGATACATGCCCAGGAGCAGGATTCCTGGATCATATGGTAAGTCTATTCCTAGTCTTTTGAGGAATCTCCATACTGTTTTCCACAGTGGCTGC